AGCGGTACCCAGACGCTGAACAAGGGGACCACCTGTTAGCGGGGCGCAGGGGGTATCACTTTCGATTGGAAACTAGTCGCGACTGTGGGAGAGAACGCACGGTACTGCCGTTCTACTTCAGGGCAAGGGGCCACCATGGGCATAGAGGGCCTACGTCTACCCACATCATTGGTCACGGTTTCTTATGGCAGCTTAACCCACAGCATTGAGGCATATTTCATGATATTTGTCGCGAACGACGCCATGACTTAAGAGTCGTAAGAGAGCGGAACTTGGTGCGGAAGGCATTGCTGTAAGTACAGGAAACGCTGAAGGGGAGTGAGAGCGAGGGTGGGGGATTCGGAGTGCAAAGTCATCCGAGCAGTGGAAAAAGTRAGGACGTATAACAATTGGCAMAGAAACGGACTCTGACAGGGAAACTACATTCGTAGAATARTAGATGTTGAAAACGGTYTGGAAACGGTGCAAAGAATTCGGAGGATGAAAACGGTCTGGAAACGGTGCAAAGAATTCGGAGGAAACGAAGGGACGGGAGGACGGACAATGGCTAGGCCCGCGACGCCTACGCAGTCAAGTCCGCCCGACACTGATCTAGGTAGGTCTTCGCGCTCGCCGGAGCTGTTCGGCAATGACAAGGTCCATACTGTAGCACAACCTCGCATAGCTATCGATCTGGGTACGTCTTGGAGTCGGGTGGCGGTCTGTCGCGATGGGAAGGTCGAGGTCATATCGGACATGTCCGGAAAACTCTCAACCCCGTCTGTTGTTGCATTCGGGGACAAGAACCGTTCGGTGGGCGAGCTAGCAAAGAAACTGGTGCGCAAACCGGAGAACTTGCTGTACGAGGTGAAACGACTGATAGGACGAGATTACGACTCGATCAGAGAAGAGGAGAGCAAGTGGTGGCCGTTCACCGTTACTAAGGGAAAATCGGGGGAGGCGCTGCTAGAGGTAAGGAGTGAATTCTTGTGCGCTTTGAAGACCAACCATGGAGATCGGACTGAAGCACGGAATTCAGGGCGTCAGGAACAGGTCTGTGCGGGAAAGAACGAGGCAGGGGGGGTGCGGGGGGTGCATACGGAGGCTGTTGGCACGAACCCGGAGGGTGGCGCCTATATGACGTCTAACGGTAGAGATCCGATTGCGTCAGCAGATGCTGAGAGGAAGCTTCAGCAGCAGGACGAGGTTTTTCGTAGGCAGAACTCGGGGGCGGGGGCGCCTACGGACGAGACAGACGGCAAGACGTACTTGGCGCCTGAGCAGATACTAGCAATGCTTCTAGCGAAGATGAAGACTGACGCCGAGGCTTTTCTTCGATGCGACGAACTGGATGCCGCAGTCATTACCGTTCCAGCAGTATATAGCGACAGGCAGCGATCAGCTACGAAATTGGCGGCTGAGATCGCAGGCTTCAATGATGTACAGCTCGTCAGCGTATCAGCGGCGGCTGCTTTGTCCTACGCCGAGCACAACGGATTAATCTCCCTAGGCGGCTCCGGTGTCTCTCAAGGAAACGAAACTGGCAGGAGGATGCTTGTGGTTGCTATGGGTGGTGGAAGCTACGAAGCTGCCTTGGTTACGATTGTCGGTGGGTGGCTCAGAGTGGACTCAGCGAGCGGCAATCCAAGTCTCGGAGGAATGGACTTCGACCACAAGATGATGGAGCGTATACTCCATCGCGTGCAGCAGCAGTTTCACCAGACTCTTGCACTGGACGGCAGGACGTTGTGGGAACTGAAAACTGCGAGCGAAAAWRCTAAGGAGGATCTGACTTCTYTTAGTGACGCGCAGGTTGAGATTGAATTCTTCCGSGGGGATGACGAGCGCAGTGATGACGACGGCAAGGTTTTCATTTGCCGTGGTGAATTTGAGGAGATGTGTAGGAGTTTGTTGGATGAGTGCATGAAATGTGTCCATAGGGTCTTGAAGGAAACCGGAACTCAGACTTCCGATGTGAAGGAAATTGTGTTGGTTGGTGGGTCAACACGCATCCCCGAGGTCGAGCGGATGTTAACGAGGCACTTCGGACTGAAGCCGAAGTTCCACTATTACCAAGATGAAGCAGTTGTGCGGGGCGCAGCGCTCTTTRCTAATTTCAGTGAACGGGTTGTGGAGACTCATCCTTTACGCATATCGTACTATGACGTGAACCAACGTAAGCACTTCAATTTTCAACAGTTTCACAGACCGACGGAATTCCTTTTGCCGCCTCTCCGAGTGTGGTCGTTTAATCCACAGACTGGTCGGAAGTGGCTGTCATTATTTGAGATGAGAAGAGGTGCAGAGGAACSCATACAAACTGGCACAGTAGTGCTCGGCGAAGGCAAGTCTCACGGTCTCCCGCGGCTGGAGGTTGACCRATGTGGGGTACTGAGACTTCAGGAGGGAGCGGCTGCAGTAGGCGCTGCGCTTTATAAAGTCRGTGAACGAACTTCGGAAGAGATCRTTGGGTGGAGGMRGCTTGCCGAGAAGTTAACAGTGTACGAGCAGAGAATAGCAGAGATSAGCAGCGCGAGGCGCCAATGGGCGAAGTACGTGCAGGAAGTGGACAAGCAAGAGTCTAACTGCGAGCGCTGGCTGTGGACCATTATATCSGACTGGAAGGCTGACATCGAGCGATGGCTAGACAACGAGGCGGCAGGGGTTCGAGTCGGGAACCAGGAATTTACCACKCGCTTTGCCGGTTTCCGAGGAGTGTGCGAATATGCCTTCGGAGACTTGTGGGCGAGATCGTTAACGGGAAGGAGGTTCCTAGTGGTCGACAGCTGGGAGTTCAACGATGTGGATAAGTGCCTGCTGAATCTGGAAAACAGAAGCGGAGATGTCTGTGACGTGGTCGTGTCTATGCCGCTGAAGGACCTTCGCAAGACAGGGAACCGAATTAAAGGAATCGAGGGTATCGATCTCGCAGTACCCTGCGGTTCGGCCAGTGCTACCCTGCAGAGCGCGAAGGACAGTGGCATCCCCTACGTAGTACTTTTCGCCGGTACCGTAATGCTTTCCGGTGATGGCGGTTTTCAAAACTCGGATTGGAACAAGTTTGTTGCTGGGCAGGTGACAGTAGCTGTCGAAGCTGGCCTTCAGGTCGTGCTGTGCCTCTTACGAGATGGTTGTCGAGACGAGCACAGGAGTAATCTACCTTATGACATGGAGGAGGAGAAGAGATACTGTGAAGCGCAACTCAGGGATGTTGGGAATTGGATTGGCCGGGATTGGCGAAACATAGCTATCGTTCATATGCCTCCGCCACATTTKTCTTTGGCCATGATATCGTCTCTTGGAGAAGACGCCAGTAGCACGCAGCAGAGYGGCGCACTTCCGCAGAATCACGTAGAGGAGACGGTTCGGCACATAAGAGAGGTTATCGGGACTTTGGCGACCACCGAAGCGGCTAACAAAACGCGCATCCTTGTCGGCRGTTGCGCGGCTGTGGAGATGTGGAATGCCCTTGTAAAGCAAGATGAGATTGACGGCTTGTTTCTTKACCGTGGGTTCCAAAACCCTCAGCYCGTCGAGAAACTCCGCTCGCCCACTAGAGAGAGGARGGGGAAAGCTCTACTTTGTCACGTGGCAAACGGAGATGCCACTCTRGACGAGAATGACAAGGAAATCCTGCACAGAGTCAGCAGGGACCTGATGGCTGGAGAAGAGGTGGACTGGATAAAGTATKTAAGGACTGAAAATTTGCACGAGGAACGCACTGGMTCCGTTGCCGTGGTTTGGAAGGCGGGTGCTATAATAAGAGACGACGACCAAACGGGAAACAACTCGCGTAAGGTGAAGATCRTCCCTRTTCTTCACGGCTATGATGGAGGGGAGCTTGGAGAGGCAGTTGACAAGCARCTTTCAATCCGGAGCGAGGAGCTAAAGCGGACTCATCTTGAAGGGGAGGAGGTTGTCCTCGAGTACAGGCCTGCGCTGTCGGTGGACATGGGAGGTAATCTTCCCGTGGCCGTGGAGACCGCTCACGCCCGCATCAGAAGATGGATTTTGACGAATATCAGCCCCGACCTGGCACGAGCGGTGYGTATAGTTTGTTCCCTGGTCCAACTGCCGCAMGACTGGTACAGAGAAATCACCARGCAAGCGAATGTAGACGGGATAACCTTGCCACAGKTCTYGACCGGAACCGCACCACAAAGGGGGGAAACGCATACCAAAGCACCGCAAAGTAGGTGGCCTACGCCTGCGCCCGCCAAAGGGTCGCAGCTTGCCGAGAAGCTCACTGTGAGGGGTGCGAGGTACCAATGGAAGACRTACACAGATCAAGTAGAGAAGCGAGAGTCTTCATGCCCGCGCTGGCTTTGGAGTATTATATCGGGGTGGAGGCATGAGATCGAGCGATGGCTTGGCGAGGAGACGGAAGATGGCTCTGTATGGATGAGGGAATTCACCTCCCRGTTTGTCGAATTCAGAAGGGCGTGCGAGTGTGCATTCGGAGCGTTGAGGGCCAGACCAGCGTCAGGAAGGAAGTTCTTGGTGGTGGATTGCTGGAAATCAAACGATATTGAAGACTGTCWGCAGAGTCTCTTGACGAGMAGGGTCCCAGATCTCTGCSAGGTAGTCGTCTCCATGCCGCTCAARGAGCTTCGCACGGCAAAGCAACGAATAGCAACAGTGGARGGAATCCAGTTGGCGACACCCTGCGTTTCGCCCAAAGCGACCCCCAACGCCTTGACGAAGGGTGGAATTYCTTACGTCCTTCTCGAGGCAGGGCCCGCCGTAACCGRCTCTGGCGATACGGAGCATCTCTCCTCGGGGTGGAACAAGCTTGTTGGTGAGCACGTGTCCCTTGCCCTGCAAGCTGGTCTTCAGGTCGTCTTGCGCATTGGACGAGAGGATTGCGAGGATGTGGAAGACGCCAATGAGGCCTTTGAACTTGARGAGGAGAAGCACCATTGTGAGGTGCAACTCAGGGACATTGTCAGTCGCATTGGCAAGGATTTCGGAAACATAGCTGTCGCGTATCTGCCTTCACCACATATGCTGACTTCCGTAATCGAAGACGAYGCAGCAGAGGSAGCCAGCGCAACCCCGTGTGACGTTGTAGAGACGGTTCGGCACATAAGACGTTTGATCGGGGATTTGGTGAACGCCGAGGCCGCCAAAGCAATGCGCATCCTTATCGCCGGATGCAGGACGGCAGACACGTGGCATGCCCTGCTAAGTGAACGGCATGAGATTGATGGCTTTCTTCTTGAGGCGGGGCTCCGAGACCCTCTCCTGTTGGACAAACTCCTTCTCTCAGGGGGACCAAGCGTGGAAATTCGTCCGGAGAGGGCGGGCAAGGTGTTGCTCTGTGGCGGGAAAACGGAAAATGTGACCCTCAGCGAGTATGACATGGTCTGGTTGAGCGCTGTCACAGCCAGGCTGGTGGGCACAGAGGAGGTCCTGTGGATAAGCACGAAGTTTGTATCCACTCTGGCGGTGAGTTCAGAAAAGAAGACGATCAAGGAGATCGACGGCTCCAACGTGCTGCTCTGGAAGGACGGTCATATTCTAACTGACTACCGCGAAGAGGTGAGAGAAGCGCGAAAGGTGACCATCATCCCCATTGTCGACTCCGATAACAACAGCCAAGGACACGAACTAGCAGAGGGTCTATCCACGCAGCTCTCAGCATTGAGGGAGAAGTTGGCAGGAAACGCTCATAATATCTGGCCACAGCTTCTTCTCGAGTACAGGCCTGCTGACAGTTTGAACAGCGCAAGCTCCCTTCTTGAGACTGTGGACAGAACTCACGTCCTCATCAGGAGATGGGTTCTGGCAAACTTGGGAGCCGAGGCAGCGCAGGAGGTCCGCATTGTATGCTTCCTCGAGGAGGAGCTGGAGCCAGAGACGCGTAGAGATGTCACTGAACTGCCCAATGTAGATGGGGTTAGCCTGCGGCTTCCATATAGGCGAACCGTCAGTCGCTCAGGTCTTGCAGCCTAGATGGGAGTTAGATTGCATCTTTAGCTCCTTTTTTTTCATTTTAATTTACACAATGGGGATTCCTTTTTTTTTTTTAATAAACGCTATATTCTTCTCTCTCAATGGGGATTCTCAAAACCTAGCCTCTACCATTGCAGGCAAAGTGCATAATCCCAGGACAACAATGGTCTGAGCTGGGGTGGGTCGTGTGGGGGCGTGAGACCGGGTTTAGGCTTAACAATGAGAACAGGACAGTTAAGTTTGGGGGGGCTGGTAGAAGTAAGGCGAGGAGTGGTTCATGAATTTTTACCTCTTCCTCATAGCTTCTTCTGGAATAGCTCTCAACCGAAGCTGGGTCATGGCTTTGGTATCCTCAAAAGTATCATCAAATGCTCATTGTATTCTCATGTAATCTTATAAGGGATGCTGGGACCGGTTCCCAGCACGTGCTGCTCCCACGAATAGATGGAGCCTTTAAAAAAGAAAAAACACGATACACAAAAAGGAAGAAAAAAAACAATGGGCCTCGCTCAGTTGATACACCCCTAAACTCTTGAAATACAGACTCAAGTTTGAATCTCCATACCTTCAGACAGATGAAGAGAAAAAGCCTTAGGAGAAAAAAAAAAAAAATAATAATAATAATAATAATGCGCCTGCGCTTCACACCTCCACTATGAAAGGTTTTATTCACGTACTTGACAAAGGATTCTTTTCCCCTTTTGTTTTTCTTAAGACACGTCCATCCGCACAGTTGATGGGAGCAACTCAGATACTTGGCTGGATCAATCTGGTCGGTATTGGTAGGGCCTGTGGCCCTGTGCCTACATGTGTGTGTGGGTGTGTGGGTTGTGGGTGGTGTGTGGGAGAGTGTTGGCCTTAGACACTGCTGTTACTGGATGGGGGTAGGGGAAGTAGATGGGCCGCAGAGCTACCCACAGAATGCTCTGTCTTTGCATTTGCCGCCCGCCCTCCCTCTGGGTCGCCCCAGCCTAGTTCCTGACCGCAGCAAATCTGGGCAGGGCGCTACAAGCACGACCCTTGACTGTGAGAGGTATTTATAATTGCAAGGGTCCCCAGTATAGGGCGTAGAATAAGTGTAGGTCGTAAAGGTGAATTTGAGAGAAGGATATAGCTTTTTTATACAAAACAAGTGAACCCCGCAAGCCGCGGCCCAGCGCCAGCCCCACCCCAGGCACGGCCATTATCTGGCCTGGGCGACATTGAGGGTGTCAGTTTTAGAACATGAGGGACGCGCAGCATTCGGGGGTCCATCGGCCAAGGCATCAACACCCCGTCGGATCCTTTGTAAATCAGAACTATTTTATTAGCGGCAGGGATTCCAACTCACGTCTGCAATTCAACAGTTTCATGGGTGCATAAACTGAGTAGCCTGCCAATGTGCAAAATGAGAAGGAATCTTCCGCAAGAACATAGGAAAATACATCGCGGTGGACAGATACATTGAAAAGAAATCCCGGTGTGAGTATGGACTAGGGAGCTGTCAGACACAAATGTCGCGCGCGCACACACACACACACACACACACACACACACACACAGAGAGAGAGAGAGAGAGAGAGAGAGAGAGAGAGAGAGAGAGAGAGAGAGAG